CCCCAAAACCCCAAAACCCCAAAACCCCAAAACCCCAAAACCCCAAAACCCCTTGTGCGATGAAAAGTATTGAAATTTATCCTAAATTGTACATGTTTTCCATCTCTGCATTTATTAGTGCTTCGATGTTCTAAAATAGTGTTATGAGGAATGGAACTTACCATAGCATCATCTTCACCATCGTCAAATCTGATAGGCTTTCTAGCCTTTTTGAGTTTCTTTGGGGACCTTTTGTTTTGGGGTTTACCGAAGAAATTTGGATCTTTATTCATGTTGCTCGGTGTTAGCTGGTTCCTTTGAGATTGAATTGATTGCTCAATGTAGTCATCAGGTTCCATTAGGTCTCTATCCTCACTCTCATTAGCATCTTTCTGACTTGAGATTCCAAAGAAGATATTCCTTCTATATTTAGACCCATCATCCTTTTCTTTTTGAGGGTTTATGATCTTTTGCTTATTTTGTAGTCTATCAGCCACTGTTATATCCTCTAATTTAACAGATTCTTCCTCTTGAGTGTTGTTTAATTGGTAATCTCCAAGTTTATTTTGGGTGCCTTTCCTAAGCCCTTCCTTAGATTTCTGTGAGTTCTTCATAATCTCTTTGTATCTTTCAACAGGATCTACCTTGACAAGCTGACTTTTAGGAATTTCAATTGCGTTTCTTTTGTTTAAAGAATTTTCAGAGTATTTTATGATAGATTCCTCTTGAATTTCTCCTTCTTCAGAGATCAAGATATCAATTAGATCATCTTCGGTCTCTTCAAGGTTTATCACTGGAGTGTTGTTGAATTTCTTCACTGTTGATTTAAGTCTAGCTGGAACAGCATGCTTCTCCTTCTCAGGAGTTTTCTTTTGGTTTACCTCAAACCTTTGCCCCAGTCACTGTTTCCCAGAGCTGATGATAGTGCTATCTAATTGGGACGACTCTTTTACCATTGAGTTTTCATGGTTTATACTTTGGTCAATAACTTCAAAATCTTGTGATAAAAGATCCATGGGGTCTTCAATACTATCTCTAATCAACACCTTTGGACGTTTGACTTTAGTCTGCGAGCTTTGCGCCTTTTTAACTTGGGGTGGAACTTTTAAATGAGTTTGAAGAGGTGTTCCACCACTGGTGAGGTTGGAACTCTCTTCCTTAATTTCTTCTAAAAATGACTTTACAAAATCATCCTCGTTATCATAGACTTTGCTCTCAACAATAGTTCTCTTACTGGAGGACTGACTGACAACATCATTATTATTAGACTCGATCTCTATCTCTAGAGAATTATAATCTATTGGTTCCTTTTTAGGTGAAGGTAGGCAGAAGTTATCATCAGATTTCTTCATAGTTATTTTCAATTCATCATTGGTAGCATCTTCTTGCTCTTTAGTACTATTCTTCGGTTTAACTTCGATGACCTCAGAAATCACTTCTCTAGGGCCTTTGGAGGATTTTGGAGAATTTTCAATATTTTCATTCTCCTTTTCCTTTTTATTTTGTTCTTTATCACTAATTTCGTCTTCAGAGTCCTCCTGAAGGTCTTCTTCGCTCTCCTCTCCTTCAGGGCCTGAAGATTTGCTGTCATTGTTACTGTCAGAGGATTGGATGTCTTCTATCTGGAGGTCATCTTCAGGTTGAGTTTGCTCCTTTTCCTTATCTTCATGGTGAGAGTCCCTTTCCTCAACTTCAGGTTTGATGTACTGTACAGGGTCTAGCTTTGGCTTCTCATCTTCCTTTTTCTTAATCTCTTCTCTCTTAAGCTGACTCTCAACCATATTATTCAGTAAGGCTTCTGAGTCATCAAAGGCTTGAACATTCCTAGCCTTTGGTCTACTGAAATCATTTGATGACCTCTGGTGCAACATCTTTGGAGTTGAAGTATTGATGAAGGTATTTGTCCTGTACTTACTAAAATCAGCTTCATTCTTAGTACAGGTTAGTAATGAAAGGATCTTATCCACTTTCTCATTGACATTTTCTATGTTACTCTTTAGATCAGTCATTTCGTTATTCCTCCTTTCAGATTCTACTTTGAAGGATGATTTTAAAGAATCGACCTGACTGCGGATATAATGCAGATGATCCTCAAAATCTTCATACTGTTCATTGCTGTCTTCATCAATATCAATAATGTTCCTCGCTTGCTTATTTCTTGCATCCTCAGGGATTTCAGAAGTAAGAAGAGTGTTTGAGTGCGAAAGGATAAATTTTAGCTCATCATTCCCTTTAGAAGCATCTGAGTTCCTCCCTTTCGCATGAGAGTAAGGACTTTGTTGAGACCTTTGCTCATATTTTACCTTTTCATTTGAATTTTTGTGCTTTTCATGCTCAAGTGAGGAATTCCTCTGGAAAGGGTTAAGTTTGTCATCATTATAAAAGGTTTTGGATTCCTTCTGAGGTGTTTTCTTCTCATCCATTTCCTCATAATCATCTTGCGGTAGTTCGAAATCATCATTTCTAAACTCAGTAGTCCTCAGATCCATCATCCCATTTCCTGGTTGGTCTTCTCCCTGGTCATCTTCCTCTCCAAACCTAGGTGAATTATCAGTCTCACAGCCAGAGTCGCTCCTCTCGCTTAATTCTCCTTCACCTTCGCTATAATCAGACATTTTGGGTTGATTTAAATTCTATAATTAGTAATTTACTTGGGGTTTTGGGGTTTTGGGGTTTTGGGGTTTTGGGG